TATATATATATATATATATATATATATATATAAGTCACATGCAAAAAGAAATTACAAAATTTTAGACATATTTTACAACCAATAATGCAAGTTTAACTTCACTTTTCCCAACATTATTCACTCAATCTTTTTTGTATAGGTGGTCTGTCTATCCAGTATATTTGAATATATATATATATATATTTGAGTGGAATGCGATACACTATATTCCGGGGTGGACTCAAGAAGGGTCCAGAGGAGGCAATTGCAACCTCCTCTCCTCAAATTCATAATTTGGTTTTTTGTCCCTCCTAAAATATCTGTTTTTACCATTTGCCCCTCTTGAAATATCATTTTGTAATTCGTTACCATGGCCCCTTCTATGTTGAGTCTAATGGAACAATTTGCCACCCGCCGCCCTCCTCGTGTTTTGGTTCCGCCTCTAACTATATTGATCCAATTTTCCTCCATTCTACTCTACTACTTTTAAAAAAAATTAAACATATCTCCTGCCCACCACTTAAAAAAAACGATTAGTTTTGCTCCTAACACATTGATCTAATTTTCCTCGATTCTACTCCACTACAAATCTACAATGAAGAATATTAAACATACTATAGAGATATTTAAAAAAAATATTATGGGCCAAAATTAGGTTTACCATGTCTCACAATGAGATTGTAAGGAAATATGCTGATTGCATGAATGCACCCCATATCTTCAAGAATTATTGTACAGTACCAACGTCTCTTTTTAATGACATTTAATACAAATATAAAGTTGAAGAAATATTAATTAATTTCTGATGCAATCTTAAAGTATTTAAACCACAATCCTCATGTCGCACAACTCATTTACAGACCTTTACTTCTATAGCTCAAATAAACTGCAAGACCCAAAGCAACCATAACACCGAATATCACACTAAGTATTACCAGCTTCCGCTTGTTTATAACAGAAGCAACCAGTGATCCTTTCCTTCCACTTTCTAATGTGTTTATATCCTCTTTATAATCTTCTGCACTTTTCTCACCTGAATTCCTTTCTTTCTCTTCTTCTTCAGCCGCTTCTTTCTCCTGCATCTTTGGAGCTTCTTTCCCCCCAATAAAAGAAGCTTCTTGGTGAGCTCTGGTGCCTTCTGAAGAGTTTTCCTGAGCTTTTGTTGGTAATGGTGGAGTGATTAGTTCTGGTACTGATGAAAGTGAGATTGGCAGGATGACATAGAGAAGACCTTCATTGCCATCGAACTTGGCTTGGATTCCTTTCAGGTTGATGTTCTTTGGGACAGTAAAGCTGCGAAGAAATCGGCTCCAATGGTTGCCTTCGATCAGCCGCTCGCCGCTGATCTTGAGGTTTCCTGCTGTGTTTATCAGAACTTTCAGCTGCTCTTTCTTGAATCCTGCATTATAGAGAAAGAAAGAAAGGTTTGCTCAAATAATGATTTCTGGCTTCTGAAATTATGGAAAATAATTTGAGTTTTTACAGAATTCTATTAAATTTTGGTTTCTTTTGCGACTTTTTTTAAAGCTGTGCAAGCCGTTATGTTCCTTGGGCTACCTGTGACAGTGAAGTTGAACAAGTTCTAAAGGACTTCATTTATATATCTTGAACTTTTTTAGCTCATTTCATTCTGAAAAATATATATATATATATATCTATAAGTAATATGTGTGTGTGTATACATTGGGACTGCACAGGCATGAATCTCGGGGAGATCCAACTGTTCATAAGACGGAAAAGTGCCACTAACGGTTTAAACCAAAGTCAAGGCCAAAGCCAACCGGATGCAGTGAGCCAGAGCCAATAAGGCAATGACGACCAAATGGTCCGAGCATGAACCGATCGAACCAAAGCAGGACATATAGGCATGCAAGCCAACCACCATAAAAATGATTATCTAAACAGACAGTGAACATTTGATAGGCATGACCCGAGAGAAGACTCGGCCCCTCAGTACCATCAACAATCTCATAGACGCCCCAGAGGCTCCTTATCAGAGATCGAGAGACAGTCGTACCACAAGAAATCTAAATCATCCATCCAACTCTCTATGTCGCGGAGCAAGCTATCTATTGGGTTACAGTGAATCATAATTTGGCGGATAATCTATCATTGCTCGGTCAATAAGAGAGGGAGAGAGAGGGAGAGGGTAGTTCAGATGAAATTTAACTTACCTGAGACATCAACAATAATTGTATCACTTTCCTTTCCCTTAAGCCATTCTAATCGTGGTTCAAAATCTACGTAAGAGCGAGGATCCGCGGAAGTGGAGGCCATTTTTCTCTGATTTAATCCTCTTCTCTGTTTTGTTTTGTTTTTTTTGTTTTTTTTTTTTCTTTTTGATCTTTCTAGGATTACAGTAGAAGGGTTTGCAGAGATGAAACAATGGTCTGGATTCGATGGTTGTATATATATATCCACGTACAGAAGTCTTGAAAAGATGCTGTCCTCTGAAAGCTATTCCTTATTGTTTCTTGTGTTTGAGAGAAAATATATATATGCCTGACCTCTCTAGTGGGCTAAGTAGACGGTTCCTTCTTTGAGTTGCACTCCTTGTGAATGTTGCAGCTTTCTGTTTTTTTTTTTTTTTCAATTAGCATTTGATTGATTATCTATATATTTAATTTGTGGTACAGAATTGCTTAAAAAAAATGCATTTGTATAGTTGTTGAATCTTGAATTGTCCTTGAATCAGACTCAAAAGGAATTGAGTGAACGAAAAGAGAGAATGAAAGAGATAGAGATGAGTGAACAGTGATGTGCTGTAATATGTTTTGTATATCCTTCATTTCTTATAAAATGATATCCCTATTTACAGTACAGAAGTGCTTCAAAAAGATTGCTCATTATTTCCATAGGCTAAGTACTTGAGCAGACAAGTTAACTCGATACATCAGTGTCTCAAATTTTCCTTCTTTAAAGGTTTCAGTTTTACTGTTATTGAAATTAAGCTAGTAGTTGACCCAAAATATAGAACTACAACAATTCGATCCATAAGCCAAATATTTTTTGTTTTTAGCATAAAATCCTCGCATTATTATATCTGTAATGGGTACTAGCAAGATGGTCCTAAATAACCGATAGTTGTTATTTCTGGATAGCATAACAATAATAATTGAGAAATTAGTTTCATGCATAAAAAAACTATAAGTCATATAGTTTTAATTATTTTATATGAATAATGATCCACATACATTATCAAAAATGTATATTTAGTATGCAAACGAATGAGAATTTTACAAAAAATTACAAAATGGGAAAAAAAAATGGGCCCTCATTGAGTTGAATTAGTTTTCAATAGTACTAAGTACGATTAACATGGGATATTATCCTTTAACTCATAGAAAGTGTCTAATTGTGCATCAAAAACGTGTTTGCACGAATCTCGAGTAGAACCAATGGATTGAGAGATAAAGAAGTGCGGCAAGGATGGCCCACCAACGAAAGACCAAAGACCCACATGCGAAAAACCAAAGAGCACGCTAGCGGAAAACTAAGGGTTCATAACCAGAAGGCTAAATGTTCGCCAGCAAAATACTGAAAGACATGTTTGGTTAGTGCAACCCTCTTTTTTGAGCTGGGGTTGAAGGTTGGTCGAGTGAAAGTCATCTGAACCAAAAACTAAAGCCTATCGCTCCAAACGAAAGGCATCAATCTGCCTCTCATCATAACCTGACTCAAGTGAAGAACACAACATCTTTTGTTATCTCACATATGCCCCTCATGAGTTTCCTCATATGGGCAAAGAACTAGCCATTATGCAACTACATGGATCATCCCCAAAATGTCGCCTTATTGAGGAGTAAGCTATATGTCGGATTACGATGATTCACCCTCTGTTCGATAGCCAAGCTATGCGCTGTCGACAAGGGATCTCTTACTCTGGGATCAACAATCGACGACTATGCTTGCATAGCTGATCGGAAAAAGGCAAACTGATCGATTCAGGCCTCATTAAATTGAAACCATCATGCGTTGATCAATAACCTTGATTCAACGAAGATGAACTCGAGCAGGTCTTGTCGAACCAAGGCTAACTAACTACAGCTATCTGAGTCATGGGGTGGTCTAACTGAGTGTCTGTCTATATAAAACATCTAAAATGTCATGCAACGCTCTCTTTAAACCAGGTCCAAACATACAATTACACCTACTTTATCCCTTCCCTCCTCTCACCTATAAATAGAGGGAGTATTTTATGGGAATATGCTAATCAAAAGTTTCATATTGTTGCTTATTATTGTGCACTTCTCGCTCTCTCTCTTTCTCTCTCTCTCTCTTGTCTTACACTCTATTCCTTGAGTGTGATTTACGGACATATCAAGATCCAACAAATACACTTGCAATTAAGAATTGTCAACATTCTTGATGTTGGTGATGTAATAAGGTCAGGCATTAAGATACCCTTCTTCATAAAGATATAAAGAGTATGACTTATTAAATAATGTGGATGCAAAGAATGGTCTTACTTTTGGATGAAAAATTAGTACAACTTTAATTTTCTTACACATATCAAATGCCATAAATACGAATTAAGATGGCAAACAAATATTCCTTTAACAACCAAGATAATATTGCTCTAAAGTAATGATAAGACACCATAGAGAATTCATGAAATAAATTGAAGTTAGCTAGATTGATCATCAAACGAGTGGTGACGATGTGAGCTAAAAATAATGGTGTATGACATAAAGAGGCCATAAAAGCCATGAAAGATGATATTACTGGTCTTCCCTAAAAGTGAATATGAGATGATCTAAAGATAGTTAAGTAACAATGCAATCATCGATGCCACTTGAAATTAAACAAATTGGTGATCCTTAAATTAAAAGTGAAGGCGAAGGGATTGCTTATATGTTATTTAAGATAATAATGTCAGAAGATTGTGGCAATTTTTCTCTTAAAAGAAGGAGTACAAAGTGTCCTAAATGCATGATCTCGTAAAAGTTGAGATAGTAGAGCTTTAGGCCAAAAGCATGGCAATATAGAATGATCATGAAGGCAATTAGCAAAATTTTTAATTAGAAGGATTGGTGATGACATGAACTGGAAATGGTAGTCACCATCAACAAAAAAGTATTAAATGCCACTATAGATTATCAATTCGCTTGTTGGCATCATCTTTTGATGCCACAGGCATAGGATGTGCGCTCGAACAACCTTAGGGTATGCATCACAGACATATGCCTCCCCAAAGCTCAAGATATCCGTTTTCGATCCTCTGGCATGTGGCCAATATCATTTTACTAGGCTTTGATTGTCGATGAAGCGAGGGTCGGCTGACATTACATTGATGAGGTGGCTCTGAGCGAACGAGTTTTGTTCGGTGCAGTGCAAACAAATCAGACCCTAATTGGTTTAATCGTGAAGAATTATTTGTTATATGACTCCAGATGGCAGAATGGGTAGCGTGGATGTGTCCAGAATAGCATTTTTGCTTAAGGGTGACCTTCAATTTTTTGCCTTGTGGCCTAAATTATCAGACTCATAAAACAACTCCCAACTGGGTAAATGTGACCACACCATATGTAGCGTGGTCATGCCTACATGGGGGTGTGACCACGCCGACATGGGGGCGTGACCATGCCCTATTTGTGTCGTGGCCACGTAACACTCTTTTTTTTGGTCAGCTCATTGCATGGTCCCTCATTTTGCACCCTAACGATGTCCCACCACCGGGATAAGTTGTTGGTTTGGTTCTAAAGTCGAAAATGGCATGTGAGTTATATGGGACCTTACCAAATGAGGCAAACAGTCATTCCATGCCTTGAGTTCATAAAAATATCTCGAGCGGGGAGGAATGGAGAAGGAGATCGCACTCATCTCACTTGAAGAGAGGCTGGGAGAGAGTTTTTATGAGTCTTTAGAGAGCTTCTTCACCCTTTTTCTTCTCACTCTTCTCCATTCTTCTTATTCTTTATCCTCTTGAGTTTTCTTTCTTAGTCACTGTCCTGACCCAAGAAATTGCAAGGAGAGAGAAACTTGAGAAGTGATCACAGGAGTACTCGGAGAGTTTCAAAAGTTAGCTTCTCCATTCTTCTTCTTCCTCCTCTTCTCCATTTTCGTTCCTTCTTCTTCCTCTCGTATTTTTTTCTCGATCACTGTCTTGGTCGGAGAAATAGATAGGAAGGGGTCTCTAGTCAGGTTGGGTTGATTATTTTTACATGTTATAAGAGCAATTTAAAATTAAATGAATTAATACAAATTATTTAATGGTGATTTTGAGAATTTTAGCTAAATTTATCAATTATCGCTCTAAAAAATTAGAAATAGATTCTTATTCTTCACATTAAATAGAGCTTAGCCATAGAGAGAATAATTAAAGATAGCTTTGAGTAGAACAATAAAGCCATGTCCAAAGTTCAAACCCATGAATCATTGATTCACCATGGGCAATTGTAATGATATGACCTAATTGTTGGACTATCATCACCAAACTATATAAAAAATCATCCGACCACAGTCCTTTAATAACCATTATAAAATCATAGTCACCTAAATATTATCGCCTGCAAATAATCATATGATCGTTATCACACAACCGCAGTCACCTGACCAACATTGCCAACCATAATTGTATAGCTACCATACTCAAATCACATGTGTCTGATCTCTATCACCAAATCATAATTGTTCGACTATCATTATCAAACTAACACCACCTTCTACACAACAACATCAGCTCACACCATCTCCAACAATGTTAAAACATGACATCCGCACCAAAGTTAATACAAGTTATTGCCAATAACGTAGATGATTGAATCAACACCAAAAAAGATGCACACTATCGCAAGAAAGACAATGCATGCAGTCAATGCTCGTTGACTTCACCATTAATCATCATGAATAACATTAACACACCATAGCTAACACTATTGACCCCAATTTATGCCATCCACCATTGCTATCAATACTTTTGTTTGGTGTTAATTATTCAAAACTTTTTTTTGCCTCTATTCTCCCTTCTCTATAGAGAATGATTGAATAGATTTCCTACAATATGTTGAAAATAGCTTTAACAATTTAAGATTTTTCAACTTTTTATTCTTCTAAAATGGAAGCCACCTTCCACAATTCTTGTAAACTAATATTTTCACATATTCTGCAGAGTCACAAAACTGCATTATTTATAACCTGTAACATATAATGGTAGAGTTTCAACTGAGTGAGACCTAAAAATTTTGTTCCCATTTCAAATTTTGAAGTAAAAATATTACTTCTCCCATGCTGCTCTAAACAACATTTTTGTTATGTGTGCATGGTTAGAATCTCCATATATTATTATTAAAGTTATAAATTTCTATAACATTTGATTTTTAGCGCATAACTTTTGATTTAAAAAATAAGTGCATGTACATTTAATGTTTCAAAATTCTCTATTTGTTTTGCACAAGTGAAGAATTTATAAAATCTAAAAAATTTTGACATCTTATTATGGAGTGAGGCTTTATCTGGAAGAAGCAAATGTCAAAGAAATATCTCAATAATTTTTTCATTGATTATGTGTCAAAGTTTTGAGAGAAATAGGCTAAATTCTGAATAGGCTGAATTGTCTTTTCTCTTTGCTTTAATTTCATTAAATAACATTCTTACAATTTATTTGAGGTACAAAATAAAGTGCATAATCTATTTTAGATAACTTAATAAAACATATTCCTAATCTAAATATTCAGCTAAAAGAGAAATAAATCAAAATAAAGATTTTGGAAATAAGGAAGCTTCTAATTATAAAATACTTCTAGTTTTGGCTGCCTGATTGTCGTCATTCCAGATTGACATCCCCCCTCAAATTAATGCTGACTGATCAGGAAGCATCAATTTGCCAACAAGAAGCTGATAACATTGTCGGGACAAAAAATCCTCAAGTTGTTGAATCCAATAGTGCCAAATTCTGAGATTGTCGAAGCCTAAGAATGTCGAAACCTGAGAGTGTCGAAGTCTGAAAGTGCCGAAACCTGCGAGTGTCGAAGCTTGAGAGTGTCGAAGCTCGAGAGGTCGAAACCAGAGAGTGCCGAAGCCCGAGAGGCCGAAGCCTCAGAAGCCTCAGAGTGTCGAAGCTCGAGAGACCGAAGCCCAAAAATATCGAAGCTCAAGAGTGTCGAAACCCGATGCTGAAGTAGACAAAGCGAAGCGTAAGAAGCAGTCGATGATGCCACAAAACCAACAATGCCCAATGAAGAAGATCTGAATCAGACGAATAATGATACAAAAATAACATCCCTTTTCAACCCAAGGATCTTTAATTTCCACAATGAATAGATTTTGCACTTTATAATAAGTTTCATCTATTGGCAAGCAGACTTACGACATTTATCTGCCTGTCGAGCAAGTCTGATCTTCTTCAAGATATATATATTTTTTCACCTTGTTCTTTCAACAATGGGACATTGTGCTTTTCAAACCTTTTCAATGAGTACCGTCCAACAGTGTGCGGAAGATAAGTAGCATTTGCAGGTGGTGTCAACCCCGAGAACGTTGTCGGTAATGGGACCGCAGGAGCAGCAACCACCATGGAAGGGAATCGAGGCTCGCGGAGGAGAGAGGTGCGGCCGTGGCACTAGAGAAACTCTAGGCGGAAAAACGTGGTGCTCCAGATCTTACGTGAAATCTCGTAGGTAGCTCGATCGTGAGGGCTCTTGAAAACCAACCTCCGGCTCGATTTCATCTTGGTGGCAGCGTTGTGGTACTTTTTTTGGGACGACGTTGTTTCTCCGCGATCTGGTTCTTATTGAAATTGAACTGCAGCCGAGGCCAGATCTGGTTGAAGAAGGGTCCTGTGTCATACTGATAGTTGGCGTGCGTCGTTCCCTTCTTCGACGTAAACTCAAAAAATCCCTGCAAGACCTTCAACTCGTCTGCGTGAGTCCACAACTTCTGAAACATCCGCCGGGATTCCTCTCCTTTGCTTGTATTGGCGATTTGGCGATGGATGTGGTCGCCGATGCCAATCATTTCCTCGTTATCAGTGACTTCGTCGTCTCCTGCGGCGAGATCATTCTCTCAGTCGGAAGGTATGGTTGTGGTGCGAGGTTTTATACAAAGCATACGAGTGAGAATCAAGACAAAGAAATAGTTTCTCCCTTCCTACAAAAAGTCTGGCGAGAAGGGAGTCTTGACGTTCCTCCAATAACTACTGGTGGTCAGGAGAAAAACTTGGCTCTGATACTATATGTCAAAGTTTTGAGAAAAATATGTTAAATTCTGAATAGGTTGAATTGCCTTTTCCCTTTGCTTTCATTCCATTAAATAACAATCTCACAATCTATTTTAGGTACAAAATAAAATGAATGATCTATTTTAGGTAACTTACTAATACATATTTTTAATCTAAATATTCAACTAAAAGGGAAATAAATCAGAATAAATATATTAGAAATAAGGAGACTCCTTATTATAAAACACTCTTAATTTATGTGCCTGATTTTCATCATTTCTGATTGACATTATGAAGCTATAAGCAACAATTATAAATTTAATTAAGACCCAACCCCCAAACTCATAATGCATTAAGAAATCAACTAGAATGAAAATATTATCTAACACAATGTAAACAATTTGTAATGAAATTGTTGCCTACACAATTTTCATTTCCCAAATAAAAAATAAGAATAAATAAATATGAGATTTAATTTGAAATATTAGGTATGGAGTCTGCATGCTTGCGGACTACGCATGTAATATTCTCTCGAGATATAAAGAATACCAATATACAACAAAAAAAACACAGTCACAATATCACATTGAGTTTACATATAGCAATGTTATTAATTAATACACATAATCATTAGCCTCTAGAAAAGTAAGCATTTCCCCCTCAACGCCAATTTATTCAACTTCAATAAATTTCATTAAAATTACATTTCACAATTAATTAACAAACATTTTACTAACCACCCCCCCAGCACTCAACTATTCTCCTTTGGACCTCCATGCACCCCTCCTCATCTTATAACCTACATATATCCCAATCGCCACAAGTACAACCAAAGCCAGAAACATATTAAGCACCACCTTTCTCCGCCTTTTTATCCTCTCCAAAAACCTTACCCTCATCTTCTCCTCCTTCTCACCATTATCAACATCTCTCTGCTCTTTCTCTTCCTCTACCTTTTCCTTCACCTCCTCCTCTTCCTTCCTTTTGCTTTCGGGCTCTTGCTTCTCCTCTAGCACTGCTGGCTGCTTCTCTGGCTCCGGTGTCGGTTCAAGCTCGGGTTTCGGCAATGATGTTGATGGCGGTATTGTAGGCTTCGACTCTTCTGTGATTAATTTGAGAAAATTTATATAGAGGATGTTGTTGTCAAATCGTGCTCTGACACCTTTAACGTCGCAACCCTCAGGAATGGGATGCTCTGTTTGGAAACGGATCCATCGACGACCACTGACATCAAGGGGCCGCTCACCGATTGCCCTAAGGTTGCCAAAGTTGTCCATCTGAACTTTGAGCTGTTCTTTACTGAAACCTGAATTGCGCACCAGATGTCCGCATGCAATATTGATCATGTCTTGCATATGTATATTTATGTGGGTGCAAACTTCTTATTTTTAGCATGAGTTTTCAATTTTCATAAAATTATTTTAAAATTATTATGTATTTTTATATTTTTATTTAGTTTCTAAGGTAAAATAACAATATTTAAAATTTGATACAAATATCTTCAGAATAAATATATTTAGTTTCATCTTTATAATGAATATCATGTCATTATATGATTCAATATGATACTACGTATGCAATTAAATACAATATTTTGTAGAAATATGATGGCCCGCTTTATAACTTATAGGAAAAACTAACTTAAAATAACATGTGACAATTGTATGTTCGGATTATGATTCAAAGGCAGTCGTGCGATCTAATAAGACTTGAATATTATGAGTATTGTATCTGAACCATCATCCAGACATACAAACAAATAAATTTTCTAAAATAAATTCAATTATTTACTTATAGCAGACGACCTTATTATGCAATCATATTATTTTTTTATCGCTGAAGAATATCTAGATTGGAATTTTAAAAAATTAATAAAATATGAAAAATATTAAATTAAAAAAAATATGCATATATGATCAAAATATTGTATACTTATAATTCCAGTAATTAATGATAAAAAAATATTGTATGCTTGATATTCAGGTGATAAAATAATTTTAAACTTAATAATAAAAATAGATAAATAATAAAAATTATATCTTTACTGTTAATTTAAAATCTGAACGAAGAATTTACAAGTTACGTATGAAAATAGGCAAATAGCTATGATGATTCTGTAAAAGTCCATGCACATACATATCACACGATTGCTATGTATTTACTTATACAACTCCTAAATTTTAACGTTCATTCATACAGCATATAAATCTTCAATATTATGTACGTACAACGAAACTATTACTGAGACTAATTATTAATGCTTATGTATTTTGCATGGTTATTAAATAAATATTAAATTTTAAATATTAAATATATAAATAAATAATATTTATTTAAGTGGTTATTTATTTATTTACTCAACTTCCAACTGTGAAAGGAAACCCTAAACGAGAATATATTGCATCATGACTCCGCACGTAGAGTTACACGTGCAGTCAAATGAAATCACGCCATCTGGCGATGACAGAAAAAAAGAATGTTTGACAACACAAGAGAATATTTCTTCTGTGTTATTCAGATGTTATTGTGTGTTATTCATGTATTATTGTGTGTTATTCAAGTATTATTGTGTTATTATAATATCGGGAACATTCCCATAACACAATAACACCTGAATAACGTACAATAATACCTGAATAATACGAAATAACACGGGGGAAATATTCCCCCGTGTTACCTGACTCATTTTTTTTTCTGTCACTTTCACGTGATGTGATTTCATAAACTCCGCACATAACTCTATTTGCGGAGTCCTGATATATTATTTTTTTAAACAGAAGACATGCCTGGAAGTCGAATCCGAAGCGTTTCTGAAATATCATCAGAAATCCATTCGGTAAAGGGTTGAAAGTCTTCGTAGGAGCGTGGCACAGATGATTTATCCATATCAGCCTCGTTTAACTCTGTAATTAAGTAATGAGTTAAGGAAGGGATGGGATGGCATTGGAAGAGAGGAGAGTTTATATATTATATTGAATGGAATTTGTGAACAAGGAAGGGATAGTATGCGCAGGAAAGAAGGGGGGTGAGGGTGTTCTTTGTTTCTTTTGCAAGCTTCTTTAATGGAGGTTTTGGGTGCTTTGCTTGGCTTTTCTATTTGGTGTTATTAATTGCATTTTATATGCATTTGTATATGTTTGGCTTGGCTGTAAATTGGTGACATGCAAACAAAGTTATGGAAGCCTTGTAAGTTTCTTATTGAAGTATTGTTTCTTACTATTGAATAGCCGAAATACAATTGTGTTGGACAAGGGGATATGATTTGAATGATGATGTTGCAAGACAGTCGTTCGAGCTTTTAGGTCAATTTAAAGTAATTGACGAGTAGAGGCCACTGAACAGATGGTTTCCTTCGTTTATCGAGCTGAAGTGGTCTATCTAATGATGTGACCGAGATAATTTTAGAACACCGGATCAACCCTGTTAGAGAAGATCCAATTTGCTTCCATGTTAGATTGGCCTCGAGATGAATGGTCCTAAGAGACTAACAGATTGACAAGGATGAGACCAAACTAGGGCGCGAGAAATAAAAGGCAAATTAAATGTATTTTGGATGTGGGGCTGAATAATAAATGACAAGGAATCTGTCAAAAATTTATGGACCTTTTTAATGATATTTTTTCATACCATTTTTTATTAAAATTTGTTTCTTGAGATAAAAAAATATATTTGCAGCATATTCTTGACTACATGCATACTTTTGTTATTTAGTTTAACATTTTTTAGTCAAAATAAGATTCTTGGTAGATTATTTTAATTATAAATATAAATTATAATTATATTATGTGAGAAGAAATTTTGGGCTTTATTATAAAATATACTATGATTTTTTTATTTGGAACAACCTTTTAAAATCAAGTTATAAATTTCAATTGAATTTATATGTATTGAATTTATGTCAAAATAAATTTGAACAATTTTAAATTTTATTATGTTTAAGACATCAAAACTATTTTTTTTTTCTATTTTCATGTAAACAAGAAAAAAATATCTTGAATTTATTTTAAAATCAATATGGTATAAAATTTAATTATTATTTTTTCATGTAATTTATCCATATTTTAGTAAAAAATTGAACATTTTTTTCTATTTAAAAAAATTGTTCAATGGTTATTTTTTCTGTAAAGTAAAAATTATGAGATATTTAGTCTGATTTACCCTGCATATAATTGAGAATAGGAGAAATTATAAATAACTTATAGGAGAAATTATAAATAACAAATAACTTTTTTTTTTTTTTGGTAATTTTCTATTAGCATTTATTAATCAACTCTTGAAAATAACATTATGATAAAATTTTAGAATGTAGGCACTCACTAGTAAAATAATGAAATTATATTATAATTCATATGAAGAAAAAATATTTTACAAATTCAAGATAGTAAATGAGTTAGAAAGAAGACTGAAGAGATTGATAATTTGGATTTTAAACTTTGAAATTTAGGTAGGAGCTGCACTATAAATGATATGAGTGTAATTATATATAAAAGTTTGAAAGATAATATATTAAAAATCAGTAGAATGAGTGATATTACTATAACTCTAGAGTTTGTTGTCGGCATAAAATTATTAATATTTTAAGTGCTTATACTCTTCCAGTAAGTCTGACGATATTTTTATAAGAAAATATTTGGATAGAAGAATTAAGATAAATGATACCACTTAAAGAGAAAATTTTTATTCGAGTAATTTAAATAGAAATATTTGTAGAATGACATAATATTTTACAGGTATTCATGATGACTATAATTTTGAAGTAACTAGTGAATAAGATATAAATGCATATTTTATTTCATAAAAGATATGAATACATATTATAACGTATAAACATGAATCTAATAATATGCTCATCTTTTTATTGGTGACATGATCTATTATCATTACATGTTGAATCTCAGATTATTCGTGAATCACACTAAAAAAATAAAACATAGAGAGAGAGGTTAATTTTTACAAACACAGCATCCAATTTAACACTATCACCCTTTTTAATAGTGAAATTCATATTTATATATAGATATAAGTTGCTTTGTTTGTAAAAATTAAAATTTTGGCCTGAGACACTAGATATGTAAATTTCCATAATAATAAATATGATGTAAATTTTTAAAAAGTTGACCGATAGTTTTTCCGAAATAAATAGAAAAAAAAAATCAAAATAAAACCTGCCAGGCCCGCTCGATGGTGTGGTTCGTTCTCACTTTCCTAAAACAATTGCAAGATGCTTAGAAGAGAATTTCCAAAACCCTAACCAGTGTGTGTCATCTAGTTCATTAATGGAGGCCGAATCTGGTTTCCAGTGCTTGCTTCGTAATCTGAAGATGGATGATCCCGGGATCCCCCCGAAGACTTGGGAGTCGATCGCCTGCGAAAGTGGAACTAGTCGGACGATTGATCATGTGCAGGGACCTGAAGATAGGATATACGACCTCTCCGCTGTTTCCGTGAGTAAAATTAACCCCTCAAACCCTTTCTTTTGGGTAAATTCGTGGAAATGTGATCAGGCATTGGGTGGACTTCATTTTGACTTACCAGTGGGAAATGACTTTCTAATTATGGCGAAGCTTGGTGCTAACATTGCTAACATTTATTCCCTGAATTGAATTAAAAAAAAAAAAGAATCCTCAGATTCCTGGTTTTCTAAAGTCCATGTTGACTGTCTTCTAAGTAATCAAAACCCCTTGACATCACAATTCTTGTAATAGCTTATTTAGTCGGACGATCTATAAAATTAATGTTGATTTGTGAAGCCTACATTTTAAAATGGTTTATACTTCCAAGCTATTTTACTTGTTTGGATGTAATTTTATTGATATCTTTCAAACTTATCGATTGAATGGACGTAATTTGTATTCATACTTGTGTTTATCTATATGGTATCGTGATTACTGGAGTTTTCTCAAGCCCAGTCTGGCAAGATTCTGTTTAGGGTTCTGTATGAGCCCGCCAGGTTACCACCACCAACTTTGAGCGGAGCCTTGCAACCAGCAATGTGCTAATTACCGAAGCTTGCAGGATCCTAACATGAAAACCGTCATATTATGCTTTTGTTTTTACATGGATTGTCTGTTATAAAATAAAGTTCTTATTGTTTGAGGTTTGAGAACTTGAAAGCTATTGCCTCTGTTCTTCCTTATATCCCCATATTTCACTCTGATTGATTTATAAGCACGTTCAACAAAAATACAGCAATTAACAAGTTTCATTGTTTTATAGAATGGTGTTATTAATTTAAAACAATCAAATAGGTCCGAAATGGTAAAATGGTTGTATGTCATGGAACCTGTTAAGCACCCAACAAGTTCTCAATCAACGAAGCCTTGATTAAATTTCTGTTATGGAGGCATCGGTTGCATGGTTTGCTATTATCTTACAGTCAAATAGGTAGCATCACTCAATGAGTCAGCAAGCAGTAATTAGAACTCGGTAAGCATTGTTGTGGTATATATATAATAGAAGAACGATTTTTGACCAAACGAAAAAATAGAACGAAAAAATTCACACCAGAAAACAATACACATCGGAACACACAGATTTACGTGGTTCGGTTTACGTGGTTCGGTAAATTGTCTACGTCCACGAAGTTGCAGAGGATTTTACTACTTGAGAAATTTACACCAGTCGATCGTCTCGATCTACAAAAGAGATCTTTCACTTTCTTGCTCTTTCTTTTTCTCTCTTTACACCGAGATACACCGAAAAAGATAAACTTACAAGAGAAATACAATCAATTTATCTTCTGCCACAAGCCGCCAAGAAGAAGCCAAAGGAGAATAATCTCCTTCTTTCTTCTTCCTTTTGCTGCAAGGAACAACTCTTTGCAATTCTCTTCCTCTATCCCGAAGAAGCCCGAAGAATAACACAAAAAAGGCCGTGCTAAATCTGAATGAGAGCCGCTCAGGAAGAACCTGCGAAGCCACAACTGCTTGTTGCAATCGAAACCGAAAACCTCCACCTGCTGCCTCTCGTGAGCCAAACGCAGAAGAAGAAGCTTGGAGAGCGATGCCTTGCGATTCCTCCTCTCGTTCGAACCACGCCCAAACCGTCCGCCAGTTCGCGATTGAAGTAGAGGCGAAGCGTCTCTTCGCTTCGCAGGCGGCAGAGGGAGGAAGGTGGGAGCAAAGAGCAGGAACAGGTAATCCTTATATTTTTATTTTTAACTGGGCTCCACGCTAAAAAATCTCTCACTTGGAGACCGCTACACAGACTGCAACATCTCCTTCCTCAAATTGATATTCTTTACTAGCGGTGTCGCCATTCTCTTCAAATATGAATCCTTCACCTCTGTAACTCAAAGCCCCTGTCTTCACACCAGAAGACCAACTGAAGCTGCGCACAACTTCAGTTTCTCAAGAGTAACACTCTTAGTCAACATATCAACAAGGTCCACATAGCCTTGCACCTTTAAGCTATTTCCTAGGTTACACTTGTCTCTGCTTGCAACTCCCACTGCATGAGCAATATCTTGCCTCTGCTGAAAGTCTTTTTCAACAATCTAACATTGCACCTCTTACTGTTATCACACTCAGTTTTCACCCGATACACCTACTTGTTGTGTAATGCATTTTTCCCTAGTGGAAGTTCTGTCAGCTCCAATTTGCTCGAATTTTCATCTTGTAAGATTTTTTCATAGCTTTGTGGTTCTCCATCATATGTCTGTAGAACAATAAGAATGAGTACTCCAGATCTACTCTCCTCTTCACTTCCATCATCAACAGAACTATGTATTGCGTCAGCAATAGCACATCCTATATTTCTTCAATTACAACATTAGCGTAATTATTTTTTTTCTTATTAGGATTCTTGCAGTTTTTTTTTTGTGTCAACCTTGCCACAATTCCAGCAGGTTGTCTACTGATCAAATTTTGATTTTGATATTCTTCTACCTGAGTTCTTGTCATGTGATCTCCCTCTGAAATAAACTTTCAGTGCCTAACTCGAATATGAGATCTCAAAATATTTCTTGCGCATCTCCTCAGCCAAATCAAATTACAAATATCATCATGTTTCAATTTAGATTTATCTGCAGAATTGCTAACTGTCATTCTCATGGTTTCCCAATGTTTTGGCAATCATTCCAACAATACAACGCATGCATCTCATCATCAAAATCAATTTCAATAAACGACATTTCAATCAATTTCAATAAACGACAATTGATTTGTGATAGTATTGAAATCATTCAGGTGTTGAGCAACAAAAACACCTTCCGCCATCTTCAAATTGAATAACTTCATCATCAGATATACCTTGTTATTCGCTGATGCCTTTTGATACATACCTGATAAGATTGGCATGAGATTTGCAGTCGTCCACTCCTTGAGGACGTTGTTTGCAACGGACCTCAATAGGGTTAATCGAGTAACCCCCAGAACTTGTCGATCCAACAATTCTATTCAGCCCCATCCATCATTTCGGGTCTTTTCCCCAATAAAGGAAGATGAAGTTTCTTCCCATAGAGGTAGTCTTAGTCTTTTATCCGCATTCTTTTATCCGCATTCTCTAATAACCAAAATCCGTGCCATCAAATTTCTCGTTCCCTGAAACATTCACTTAATCTGCAATTATCATTTTTACTCAGATCAGAACAAAGCCCTGATACCAGCTGTTGTGGTATATATATATATATATATTAAATAGAAGAACGATTTTTGGAGAAGCGAAAAAATAAAACAAGAAAATTCACACTAGAAAACAGTACGCAGCCGAACACACAAATTTACGTGGTTCGACAAATTGCCTACGTCCACGAAGTTGCAGAGGATTTTACTACTTGAGGTATTTACACCAATCGATCGTCTCGACTTATAAGAGAGATCTCTCGCTTCCTTGTTCTCTCTTCTTCTCTCTTTACATCGAGATACCTCGAAGAAGATAAACTTATAAGAAAAATAAATCTAATCTCTCTTCTATCACAGACCACCAAGAAGAAAGCCATGGGAAAACAATTTTTTTCTTTTTCTTTCCTCTTCCTTCTGCCGCATGGAACTGCTCCTTGCACTTCTCTTCCTCTATCCCGAGGAAGCCCGAAGAAGAACAAAAAAAAAATCGTGCTAAATCTGAATGAGAGCCGCTTAGGAAGAACCTGCCGAAGCCACAACCTGCTGTGCTGCAATCGAGACCGAAAACCTTCACCTGCTGCCTCCCGTGAGCAAAAAACAGAAGAAGAAGCCTGGAGAGCGATGCCTTGAGATTCCTGCTCTTGTTCGAACCACACCCAAACCTTTCGCCAGTTCGCGACAGAAATAGAGGCGAAGCGTCGCTTCGCTTCGCAAGCGGCAGAGGAGGAAGTCGGGAGCAAAGAGCGGGAACAGGTAATCCTTATATTTGTTTTAAACTGGGCTCCACACTAACAAGCATGTCACAATCTTGTAGGGAAGATTTGCATACGTACCACTTAGTTCTTATGTATTTGCATATCTAACTCCTAAACTTCAATTTTTACATATATGCCAAGTTACCTATGCATGAAAAGGTGTATTTCACATTTTAAAAATTCAAATAGTGGTATTTTAGATATTATATGAAAGATTTTACTGGTATAAATGTAAAAAAAGCAAACTTTAGCTGTTAGATATGTAAATACATAAGAATTGGGTGGTATACTGGTATGTATGTAAATGACTCATCTTTTATTCATTGATGACCCGTTTGCTTGATTTGCCTTTTTGCAGGAATCAAGTTTGGTGAGATTGGTTATAAATGTACTGCAAGGTGTGAAGTCGGCGATTGTTGAGATTCAGAAACTCTCACTTTCATTTTGTTCAAGTCCAGCCAATAGGAACTTTCATAGAGTACCAAGTTTGTGGTGCCGGTTATCAAGCACCCATGCATTGGGAAGGATGCTCAAGTCTATTAGCCATTCAGGTCTTTTGTTCTTTTTCCTAAATGAATTTGTCAGCTATTTCCTTTGCACATATCACAAGACTAATTCAGTAAGAAGGGAGAATTGTGAAAATTTTTTGATTCCATCAAATAGAGAAGGTCAAATTGAAATGCAAGAATGCCCTCCTTATAGCTTGGTCAACCAAGCATTTGCTGTTGCAATTGGAAAGCTTCTTGGAGGCTATATCTGTGCATTGAATACTTTATCTCAGTCAATAAAATTGAGACGTTCGGTGCAGTGCAAGGGTGAATCTTTACCCATTTACCAACTTGAAGGTACTCCGACTGGTGCTGTCAATCCAGATATTACTTTTTTGGAGGTCTATTTGCATTCTAAAGAACTGAGAACTCAAATTGAAGTTCTTGGAAGCATCTGCTTTTTTCAAAATTTTATAGAGGTCATGGATTTGGATTCAATTGCCGACTTCCATAAATTTCCCAGAGGAGCAGACTTACTTACCTATTTGTATATTCAGCTCCAGGTAATCTTTGCAACTGTTTCCTATGCATTTGCCTTTCCTTTTTTTATAACACTTGATTCCTTGATTAATGGTTGAATTTTTTAACAGGTGAGACGAAAAAGTCCACTTTTTTCTGCAATTTATTGTCCCCATTCCCACCCTCCCCCTTGATTTTGCTGTTGACATCTATTGAATTTCGAATACTGATCTTATGGTTAAGTTTTTTGCTGCTTAGAATTTAATAACTTGAAACAAACAATCATAAGCAGATGTTTCTTAGACATTTAATTTTTGAGTTGTTCTGTCTTCAAGCATTGAAGAAATGCCATTGCATAGTATTTTTTTTAAGTTTGATCTATTTAGATTGTTTTTCTTAACTAGTTTGTCCATACTCATGAAAGTGAAAGAAGATTTATATAATGCAACTAGGGGTGTAAACATACGAGAGCCGAGCTTCTGTTCGTGTTTGACTCATTTGAAATAGACTCGTGTTCAAAATTGTTTTTTAAATATATGTTTGCGTTCGGTTCGATTTGTTTGAATTTGGCTCAAATTGTTCGAATGTTTGAATTAAGCTCATTTTTGGCTAAAATTGGAGCTCGGTACCTACGAGTTCCAAGCGGGCTGGATAACTATTGTGCTCAAAAGAGGATTTTTCCATCATTTAAACACTTCTATGGCTGTAAGAAAACCTCTCATTGAGATGTGAGACTAAACAATAAAAGAAAAAATGGGACAGTGGTTTGTTTGTTTTTTTTTTTTTGAACATTTATGTGCGTACCAGCTGATTCCATGTATTTACATATCTAACACTTAAACAAATAAAACAGAAACCACGGGACTATGAGATGGGAGTCGACCTTTGCTTTTTAATTTTTTGGACATTGGCGTACATACCAGCCAATTCCTATGTATTTACATATTTAACACCTAAACATAAAAGAAATTGTGAATTATGAGATGGATTCGAGTTAGCTTTGTTTTTCTTAGGCCTTTACATACATACCAACCAAGCTTATATATTTACATATCTAACACCTAAGCTTTACTTTTTATATATATATATACCACCCAAATCTCTTACAGACGTTTTTTTTAAAGTAAAATTTAAAAATAAAAAAAAAATGGTATAAATAAATATTATTATTTAATTATTTTGAGCTAAAATGAGCTGAACACAAACGAATAAACAATTGTTCGTGTTATGCTTGCTTAGCGAACGAATCAAACATGAGCTACTTAGCAAGTTAAACACGAGCTTTTCGCAAACGACGAGCTTTTTTGATAGCCTTAAATGCAACTTCAAGTTACGAGCTTTGAAATTCTTTTTTATTGTGTTATTTATACTTATATCAATTTTCTTACATCGAAACAAATTTATGAACTCCATGGTGTTTTTTACTTTCTTCAGACTAATTAGCCATTGTGCAAATTTTAGGATGCAGACCCGATTCGTTATGACCTTCTCAAGTATCTCTTTGTTTGTTCTTATGAGCCTTATTCTGGTTTTATCAACTCGTGGATTTATACAGCTACCATTGATGATCCTTATGGGGAATTTTTTGTAGCTTCATCCGATACTGCACCTACAACCGATGCCAGTTCTTTTTCTGTTAAATCTTCTTTAGCCTCTATCAAGGTATGGCTTCTTATGATAAAATTTTTATGCATGCACTATATGAAACATGCCATAACTTGCATGCTATTGTGTGTAGCATTTGATGTTCTTGCAATTTTAAAAAAAATTCTAAATGCTAGGAACGGTCTGGAGTTTCAGTTCCTTGTTTTCTGAAGGATGTTTGCCATCCACTCCTTCGAGCTGGACAACAACTTCAAGTTCTTTTGAAAATGCTTGACTTAAGCGACCTTTTTTTATCAGGGGAATACATCCATAGTGATTTGCTAGTCCTCAGGGAGATTTTTTCCTTCTGGGTTGATTCATCAAGCAGATTGGATTTCTTATCGAACCCATTAAATTTTGACTTAAATGTTGTGGAAGATCTAATTCAGAAGAGAGAAGTTAAGTACAGAAATATGCTGGAAAAACTTCAATACTATTTGAAAAAGTTCAGTGCTAAGGATCGATGGGCATCACATAATGTAAGATTTAAGTTTATAGTTCTGCAAATTCTTACAGTTTCTATTGATAATATAATTTCATTTTCACTTTGTTCAATTTATTAGTTTGTTTTCAGATTTTCTTTTGATTTGTTTTGGTATTTATTGGTGATTGCAGTACTGTTTGACCGACTTTTGTTTTGCATTATATTTGTGAAAACTGGACTGATGCATGAACTGTTAACTACGATTTCTCTGTAATTTTTGTATTTTTTAATAATTCGCAGAAAAAAGCACACTTTTGCTTATATATCAATATTCTTGGGTCATTTTTTAGAGTATGGTAAATTATTTCTGTCTGTATAAAAGTCGTTTAGTTTGATGCAATAATTTGAGTTTTGGATTATATGCTTAATTTTTAAGGCTTTTGCCATCCCTATTCTTTTTCACATTGTTTAGTTGCATTGAAGAGGATTTTGATGCTAGTATTTTAGAATATAGGAGATGCTGAAATAGGTGTTAATTAGGCTGGAAGTCAAATCTACCAGTCATATGAAACTGGGTAGCGAAATATCAGCATGGGCTTCATTCGGTACTACCGTTGCTGTTTGAAAAATAATGTGAAATTTTGTTGAAATAACTATGTAGGAAAGCCCCTGAAAAGCTTTTAATTTCTATTTGATTGATCTTTAGTTGAGCTTTTATTTCTAACTCAGAAGCTAATTTTACCTATTTGATTGTAGCGTGTTATATGATCTATGAAAAACGAAAGACGCCAATATGCACCAAGAATTTAGGGAAATCATAATTTAATTGTAAAAGATAAAGTGTTTTTTAAGTTACTTAATATTTTAAATTACTACATTATCTTAATATTTAATAGACAAATCACAATGATCTTGAAAAATTAACAAAGAAGTTAAAAAAAATAAAAAACAACAACAACAACAAAGCCTTAATCCCACTACGTGGGATCGACTACATGAATCATTTTTCTCCATTGCGTCCTATTTAGTGTCATATTTTCATTTATTTCTAATAAATTAAGATCATTTTTTATACAATAAGCCCAAGTCTTCCCAGGGCTACCTCTGCCTTTCTTAACATAAGTCGAATCTAAAACATCTACTCTCCTAATCGGATCATCAGATGGTCGACGTTTAATGCTATTAAAGATACTCTCTCTATTTTTGTCTGTCACTGGAGCTACGCCAACCCTATCACTGATATATTCGCATTTTGTCGCTAAGTGTAAAACCACTCATCCACCTAATCATTCTCATCTCGGCACACTTCGGCAACACTTAACTTATTATTATGCTTCTCTTTTAAAGGCCAACATTCAACGCCATAGAGCATTGCAGTTCTCGCTAAGGCTGTAAACGAGCCGAGCTTGAGCGAGCTCAGGCTTGGCTCGGGGTCGGGCCCTTCG